AAAACACCTAAATCAGACTCCCCCTAACTCTTCTTCTTTTTTTTTTTTTCTAAGAGAAAACAATTTGAGAGATTTCAGCCTCCATCCCAGGCACCATTCTAGTAACCCTCCTCTGAACCCATTCCAACAATTCAATGTCTTTCCTAAGGTAAGGAGCACAAGACTGAACACACTACTCCAAATGTGGCCTAATCAGTGACCTATACAATAAAATTAGAACCTCTTTAGACTTGTATTCAATATTTCTCTAGATATAACCTAAAATTGTATTTGCCTTACCACTAGTAACTGCACACTGCTTGGATGGCTTTAGAGACTGGTCAACTATTATACCAAGATCCATTTCTTTCATGACACTGTTAAGGTTATTCTCATCCAAATTATGATAACCCAAATGCATTATTTTGCATTTATTATAATTAAAACCAATTTGTCATTTATTTGCCCAACTCACTAAATGCCCTAAATCCTTTTGCAGATCAGCAGCATCCTCTTCACAGCTAGCAACACCCAAGACCTTAATATCATCTGGAAATGTATATAATTTATTGACCATTCCTTCATCTAATCATTGATGTAAATCAAAAAGAGCAAAGGTCCAAAGACTGAGTCCTGAGGTACCCCACTGCAACACTAATCCAGTTTGACTGAACTCCATTTGTAACAACATACTGCTTTCTTCCATCCAGCCACTCTTCTATCCAATTTGCTATCTTATCCCCCATAACCCTATAGAGATAACTTTCTTACAAGCTTTTATGTGGCACCTTGTCAAATGAGAGACTTTATACAGGCGATAGCTGGATAATTAAAATGAATTATTTAACAGAAGTACATAATGAGCGTTTGCATAATTGTTTCTATATCGCAATGAAAATAATACATATACCGGTATTTTTCTATATAAATATGCAAAGCCCTTACGAATATATTGTTTTGCATTGGAACGATGCTTTAGGACAAACCTGAGCAAATACTTGAACGATGGAATGATGGTTTAGACAACCTGACAGTTACATGGGAATAATGAAACAGACAGTTATACGAAATCACCGGACACAAATAAGGGTTTAAACAACCCGATAGTTATACAAAAACACTGAAATGAGGGTTTAAATAAACCAGCAGTTATACGAATACACTGAAATAATGGTTTAAACAACCAGGTAGTTCAACGGAAACACCGGAACACTGAAATGATGGTTTAGACAATTCTATAATTATACAGATACACCGGAACACTGAAATGATGGTTTAGACAATTCTATAATTATACAGATACACCGGAATACAAATAATGGTTTAGACAATCCGGCAGTTCAACGACAACACCGGAACACTGAAATGATGGCTTAGACAACCAGATAACTAAGAGGATACACTGGAACACTAAAATGATGGCTTAGACAACCCGATAGTTATACCGGAACACTGAAATGATGGTTTATACAACCGATAGTTATAGCGAAACACAAATAATGGTTTAGACAACGTAATAGTTACTAGACAAGCCAGGGTTTCTCAAAGTATAGGCCAAGAAATCAGTGGATTGTTTGCGTTTAAGCTCAAAGCTACACAACGGGCTATCTGTGTTTTTCCCACCAAGGGTATGGTACCCTGTTTTTAGCGTATAAGCCATTAAGCTTATCGCTGAACCACTGGGAAAGAGGGGGGGGGGGCTCATGGTTCTGTAAAATTCACAAAGAATAGCAATATTTCATATGTTTCTACATTTTACCAATAATGAATAAACAAATACATGATAATTTCTATAAAGCATCACGTTACCTCTGCGAAACGTGCAACCAAAGATAAAGGAATGCAATCGATTAAAAGATGTGGAAACAGAACTACTTACCAGCTTGGAGAACCTATGTTAAAACAAGCGTAAAGCTCGCATTAAAAATGTTAAGTCACTGTTCTTCTTCCATATCTTTCAGCTGACATAATAAAATTTTTATAATTTAGTAATTCAATGTCGTTTTATCCTCATTTATTTTACTAATAACAAGTCAAATAAACAATAATAATTATTATTACAGTTTCTCGATTGTTTTTTATTCCGGTTGCGGCGAAGGTGGCATCTCTAGCAAAGGGTTACACCACAAAAGAGTTAGGATCAACTGGTTCAGACAACCCGATAATTTAACTGTACAGATATTTATAATCTAACCTATATAAAAGTCAGTGTGTGTCACGTCACGCTTGATTTCTCGAAATAGGTGGAGTCACAAAATTCAATATGCATTTATCCATATAGAACAGTTCGATTACTATCTGCCCATTACGATTTTAGTGAAGGGGGTGCAAGGGGACCGTGAAGGTGTGTGTGTGTGTGATGTGAAACCTTATAAGTATAGTAAGTGTTGGTATAGTAAGCCTAAAGTAAAGACGTGGTGTGGGTTTGTTTGTTTGTTTGAATTTATACACAAAGCTACACAATGGGCTATCTGTGCTCTGCCCACCACGGGTATCGAAACCCGGTTTCTAGCGTTGTAAGTCCGCAGACATACCGCTGTGCCACTGGGGGGCCGTAGTGTGGGATCACCTAGCCTAGAACCAAGTGCATATAATTTATCGTGAAAGTAAAAATATCGATTCAATGTTAAACTTAAATCGTTTCGGTTTGTGCTTTAGTGAACGCTCCTGAAGAAGCTCTAAAGTGAAACGTTGAGTGTCTAATTAAATAAAAACAACATTTTGGTGTTATAAGTCGTTTATTTCTAGTATTTTTCCAGTTTTGTTGTCCATGCATTCCATTTTATACTTTCAGTAGATTGATTAACAAGAATA